TATAGGAAGGCATTGAAGTTCCGAAAAGGTAAAAGTGGAGACGCTGCTAGTAAAATGAGACCATATAAATTTGAAAGAGAGATGTCATTCCTGAACAAATATTTGCCGGATCGAGATCAAAAAACAAATGTTACTAAAACAGGCTCTGTTGCTAATAGTCCTAGAGCTTTTGAGGATGATGAGGATGATCGGCTTGAAGACACTGATAATCAGACTGATTCAGAACTTTTGACACCAGTATCATCTAACAGCACAACGTTTCGAACAACGCTTACTTCAGTTCAGAAGAAAAAAAGAAAACAGCCCCAAAATACTCAACACAGTTCAGTTGCTAGCGTTCTCGAAAAATATTTACAAACTACTACAGCTGTTACAGGCTCAAGTACAGATTCAGGAGGCAATAGTTTAAAGCAATTTTTTATTGCAATGGCAGAAACAGCTCAATCATTTCCACCCGAACTTCAAATACAAGTTAAGTCGAAGATTTTCAATATCATACAAGAAGCAGAGTTAAAGTGCTTACAACCCAGAGACACCGCGCAGTTTGGCAATGTTCATTCAGCTGGATTTCAAAGCTTTCATTGGAATCAACATTTACATCCACAACACATGCAACATTCACCATCACAATACATACAATCTTCACAGCCACAACATATTCAACCTCCACAACCACAACACATGCTAGCTTCGCAACCACAATTCGCGCTTCTTCAAAATATGCAACCATCTCCACCACAACACATTCAGTCAACATCAACTTCGACATCCTTTCTAGATTCGCCAGAATTGCATAGTGACAATGAATCAAACTTATGATAGTAATATAAAGTTAAATATAATATAGCTGTTACAATAGTCTAAATAAAAAAATAATATGTACGTAGTGTTATTTTATGCTTATGCCTTTTATTGCCGCCAGTGTCTATCTGCGTACACAATATGAATGCTTCCACATTTCTACACAATGCACTCGTAACTTACTATTACTATACTACTATTACTATTATTATACTACTATACTATACCTAATACTATTGCTATACTATAACAATATAGTATAGTATAGTAGTATATATATTTTTCTACTTTTTTGTAAAGGTAAAAAGCTAATTTAAATCAATTTTCCTACAATTAACACCAATTAAATCATATAAGCTCTTTGACACCAAATATCTAGGTATACAAAAAATTTAATTAAATTAAAAAAATAAAAAATTTTACTACTTATATACTATTTACCTCAGGGTTACTGCTAAGCGTTCTGCTGGTGGAATAGAACTCCTAAACGTGGTATTCTCCCTTGTCAGATCAGAACTCACAATTGACAAAAGCTCCTGAAATTTTTCGTAACTCATTCGGAAGTATTGAAAAAATTTGTCTTGGTGTTCTATTAATTGAGGAAATAAAGTGGCAAATTCACTTTCAATTTTCCTTTTCTTACAGATTTCATGTAACCATTTTCGCTTTCTTTTTAGCTTTGCAATTTGTTGTTTCTCTTCCTCACATAGTAAACTTACTATTATAGCCTTTGCATCCATCTTCAGCAAAATAAACAGAGCGACTGACTGGAAAATTTCTGGCTAGTGCGCGCTACGCTAAAAAATTGCCGGTCGCCGTGATGCGTCCCGTTGTCGGCTGTTGCCGGCTAGTGCGCGCAAGCCTTAAAGGGTAGTTTTAGCAGGCGACTAGCATTATTTCATAAGTGGTTTTTATTTTTACCAAATTTAATTTTTTTTTTAAATATTCATCCCTACACTATTAAGGAAGGGAAAGTACTGTTAAACTTTATGGAAAATTTATTTCGTCGACCATCCAACGTTGAAGAAAACCCTGATTAAAAAGGATTTTTCTAAAACATTTTCTAAATTGAGCATTTTTCTGACCTATTTTGTGTAATTTCAATTTATGTAATCGTTTATTGTAAAAAAAATTGTAAAATTCTGCTATATTAAAATATAAGGCAAAAAAAAAACCTGAATGTTGTAGGTTAAAATGTCACCCTCTACATTTTAACAAAAAATTTGTTATATAATTTTATTCTACATCAATAATAAATCAACTACATCGATTTTTGTTACAATCGGTCAAATAATAATGTTATTAAAAAAAATTTAAAATGGCTAAATTCTTCCCATTACTGAAGTACCTATGTAACATTTTGTCTCGGACACTCTGTATATCTGGTGATTCTGCTAATAGATGATCTTAGCTGTTTACTAGATAATGTGGGTGCAATTCTATTATGAACGGGGCTTGTAACCCGCATGTTTCATCAACATTAGTTTGAGTTTATTTCACCTATTGTGGTACAATTTATGTTTTCATAGCATGTAATGTTGTAGGCAGAGATATAGAGTAGGGAGAAGGCCCATTGACTTCTGTGCATCCTATTTTCGAAGGACACTACCAGTGCCGCCATTTTGAACATGAACTGTCATTGTTTATGAACATGAATTTGTTTTGTTTTGATTTTTGAGGAGTGGGCAAGGTTATGTTTCGTGAATTATTTTTTAGTTACTATTTGTTTATATACGTATAATTTACGCCTGGAGCGGCAAATTGGCGCTGTGGACGTTTTTTAATATTCATTACATCGTTTCCACACTAAGGAAAACATTTATCCTTTATTGTTTTTTGTTATGTCGTGTGCTGTGAAGGGGTGCTTTTTGACATAAGGCGATTTAAACCAAAAGGAATTTCATCGGTAAGAGTGGTTTTATGAATTTATTCCTTGCAACAACTGTTTAAATAATCTTGCAGCTTTCCGAGGGGAGATATGTTTATAAAATGGGTAGAAAGTCTGAGACTTGATCACGAATTTAAATGGTCAGAGAAATAAAAAAAAGATTTTCTGAATGTTGAAAGTCAAATTCGCCTAAAACCGGATGCAGTTCCAAATTTAGAAGTCTATTTAACTAATAAAGCCGAGGCTCCATCCACAAGTTCAGTTGAAACATTACATACCATGCAAAATAATGCTCCATTTACTTCATCGATGTCATTAGATGATACGGCAGAGCGTTCTAAGCTTAACCAGAACCATTGGTAATTTTATTTTTTGTTAATACCAATTTTTTTAAATAAATATTATTTTCCCTGGCAGTGTATATTATTATTTTGGTGAATTGTCATCTAGTCAAGATACTTCTACAAGTACTGATAGCAGCACAAGGAGAAAACGTATAAAGTTTTTTCAAACCGAACATAGTTATAGGTACATCTTAGAGAAAAACAGTAATTAGGTTATGCGAGTTATACACGTTACATGTATTTTGTCTCAAACCCCAACCAATAAGTATATTGCTTAGCTTACATGTTACATTATTTCAGTATATCAACTGATAAAATTTAAAAAACATATTCAGAATTACCGCAATAAGACGACTTTTAGTATTTACTGAAAATAAATTGCCAGATAAAAAGGATTTCATGATTGTATTTGTTGCTTCTGTGATACAACAATTTTATAATTGTGCAGGAGAACTATGTTCTCTAGTTTAATAGAGCACAGTGTTATCACTCGCATGAAAGTCATTTATTAATTCTAACGAAAAGTGTTGTTTCTGCATTTATGCGAATAAGATTTTTTAATTTAGGCAAACAATATACTAAAAAAATTCAGGGACATCTAATACGAAAACAACTAAGTTAATATTATTTAATCATCAATAAATAAAATATTTAAAATCATTATTATTTGTTTATACTAGTTTATCTTTATATTTCAAAATATAATTTTTTTATATATTTACCAATTTCTGAAAAAAACCTATTAAAATAAAAAATGTTGCTCATATAATTTGAACCTTTATTTTTGGTATTGCATTTTAAATTTGCCTCTCCCTGTTCCTATTTAAATTTCCCTAAAATTTATCTGTGTTGGCAACCATGATGTTCAAAATGGCGACCATTGTTATTAGCCGCTCGCACAGGTTGTAAGAGCATTCTCCCCACTCTATATCTCTGGTTGTAGGTCACCATTTGGCAATAGGCACAAAGCCTTGTTTTGTGCTAGTAGAGTACATGAGAAAGTAGAAGTGACTTTTAAGATATGCAGTGGCGGCCCGTGATATTAAGAATATTTTGAAATTTGCAAGGTCAAACGGCTTTAAATGGATCTGGAAATGTTTAGTTGCATTTACAATATTACCGAAAAACTGTCCTTCGCGAGAAGGATTTTAATTTCGATTTTATAAAAAATAGAAATATTAGTTCATCTCGTGGACTTAATGTTAGGTACACATACTTCCGAATGTACACTTTGTCTTTTGACTTCCCCCTTTTTTCCACAACGAGAGAAGGCACAGGCCTCTGGCAAAAATTTTTATTTGTACTCAATTTTCCATTTGACAAATATTAACAAAAAACCGTTATATTCGTGCAATGGGCGACGTATCGTATAAACTGTTCTAAAGCAGGCGATGGGCGATGAGCAATGCAGCTTCAATTTTCGCGTCACTCGTTTCCCCACGCAGTAGTTTACTCACGTGTTGGCCGACTCATTGCCATGGCAATCGCCGTAAACAACGCTACGAAGTGCGTGGAATAGAAACTGATTTCAATCCGCGTCATTTGCTTATGCTATATACGTTGTATGGTACGAGGTTTATGTTCGCGCTAAACGAAGACAATATTTTTTTAGAAGGCGTTCACCGCGCAATTATTCTGTTTATTTCTGCATGGAAACAAACACAATACATTTTCAATATAGAATTAATACGAAAACTATAAAATTTATATAAAATTAAAAATAATTTTAAATTGCTCAACCAAACGGAAATGTTAGGTGATGCGGTGCGTCACTTGCGTCACCTGACGAGCCGCCACTGAAGATATGCTTTGTAGGTTATATCTCATTTAAAGCTAGACATGGACAATAGGGATCCTTTTAGTGATCCGCTTGATGCGAAATGTATCCACATAAAGATCCGCATCAAACGATCCGCATTAGGGAACCGTATACGGTGCGGCCAAATGGCAAGCTTTACTTATACAGAGTTGTCGCAAACTCGATGCCCCAGGTACTGCTATTGGTTAATAAAAAACACGAATAAATATTTCGCTTGGGGGTTTCAAATAGGACCATTTAGGCTTACCTTGAGCCAAAAATATTATTTTTTGAACTTTTGGAAATGAAATATATTTTTCCGAGGAATATACCTATTTTGTTTCATATTAGGAATTCAGAGTTTATCTGATTAATACACTTTTTGATATTACCCTTCGTTTAAGAGTTATTATTTTTAAAGTGTAAATTCATTTCATTTTTTAAATCATTTTTTAGAATGGAGTAATTCATGGTATGCTCTTGGGCATCGACAATTATTTACCGAAGCACAAACAAGGCGAAGAGGCTGTCATAGTGAACATCTCTTCCACATGCGGACTACAGGGTTACCCACATATCCCCGTCTATTGCACCACCAAATTTGCTATTACTGGTATGACAAAGTCTTGGGGCACAGATTATCATTACGATAGAACTAAGGTTAGAGTCGTTGCTGTCTGTCCAGGGGTTACTGAGACGCCAATGATTTTTAATATGGCTGGAAGAAATTTGGGCGGACCGTACGAAAAGTATCTGCAAAGTAATTTAAGTGGGTGGCTAAGACAAGAGTAAGTATTTGGGGTGACGAGGAAGTCGATGAATTAATTTGGGGATGTGAAAGTGAAGCTAATTTGCACACAAAGGGACCATATAAAGAAGAATCATTGACCTTAAGGGTCGAGTGCCTAGTGGAAAAGTAATGAAGTAGCGAACTATGGGATTCTATCTCTCTTTTCGATTACATCGACGGAATGACTTAGATTCAATAAAAAAGCTCCACAAAAAAATGGAGTTTGAATATGTCTCTCATATGTTTTCGGGGTCGCTGAATCCAAATTCGGGATCTATTTAACCCTATCACGTCAGGATTGTTCATAACCTCAAAAAATAGGACAACAGACACAATAAATCCTCTATCCATTGACCACTCAATCTCAATAACCCTATAACCCCTTAACCCCTTAAACCCCATAACCTCAAAATGCCATAACTTCAAAATCTCAGGACCCGGAAGAAAGAGACTTATGCGCGTTGAAGTCATGAAACACAATATGTTCGAGCCTTATGTACGAACTCTTATGAGGTTATGAAAAATCCTGACGTGATGGGGTTAAGTGGACCCCGAATTTGGATTCAGCGACCCCGAAGACATATGGTAGACATAGTCAGATTCCAGGGGTAATTTTCTCGATTTTTTTTTGTGGTGTTGTGTAATAGTCGTACTTAACAGAGCAAGTCTAGAACTCAAAGATAAATTTAAAAAAATAATAATGTAGGTATTTCATCCTGTATAATTAAAAATAAGAAAGAAAATACGTTACTACGGGTACATCTCGTTGGTAACGACAATCTGCAGTGATAATAGAACATCTTATATGAGATTTGATCAAAAAGTAACGGGGAAAACATTTCTACCATTGATAAACATGTGACATAGTATCGTCGTCAAAGACCTTTTTGAACACTTTGTTGCATTTAATTCCGTTTTAACACAAAATAGACAAATTCATCATTTCGTCATACAAAAAATTGACAAAAACGCTGAGGTAAGTGCCCTAAGCGTGGCAGCTGCCTAAAAATTGACAGGTAAGTCACTGACAGTGCTACCACTACAACTTGTCTATAGACAAGATACAACACGCGCAATTTGCAAATTAAATTCCCCTTACTTTTTGTTCAAATGAAGCGCATTTCATTCCGACAAGGACTCATCTTTCTATACACATCTATTCGATAAATCTTGTTCAATATTATTAATCTTATCAATTTTTAGGACTGACCATGTTGCAAAAGAAATGTTAAAAGTCATTAGGGGTAGCCCAAACGGAAAACTATGGGTGGTTGAAGGAGGAGAACCGGCATACGAGTTTTTACTTCCAGAACGGGAAAATATGGAAAGAAAATATTTAAATGTATAGAATGGAACAAGGAATTGCAAACAAATTATGAATTTATATTTTGCTTTATTAAAAATCTAAATGTACTACCGTTTATATATTTATACTGTTATACAACATTAAATATATACAGTTAATATCTTATAAAAATTAAAAAAATTAAGTACATTATTTATGGAATAGATAAGAAAACGTACTATATTTTTTATATTTTTGTATAAATAATTGCAACATACAGTGTGATTCATTAAGAACCAGATCATCCCCCTAATCTTGTTTTTTGAATTTTCTCATATTTTTTTTTCCAAAAGTACAGTGCCTTCTAGATCTAACTGAACTAATTACAATAATGGCAACCACGGCCTTCTGTTACAAAATTAAACTTTTAAATTTATGAGGCTTCCGTTTCAGTTTAAAAATCTAGAAAGCTTAGGATGCCAGAAGATGACCAATTAGCCAACTGACTGTTAATTATTATTGGTAAATAAATTGGTATATTTGTAATAAATTATAATTTTCAAATAGTAACCCTGACACTGATAATATGGTAGTTCAATAGTTAGTGTAGACAAACTTTCAATGCAAGAGGAAAAATATTATATCGAGAAACTCGGGGAAAGACTATACGATGTCTGTTTATTTTTTTAAACTTTATTATTGATTTATACATTATCGGTCCTTTTTTCTTTCAAAGTACTCCTCTTTCCTATTCACATATTTATCTTAGCGATGTTTTCATTTCGCAAAGCAGTCCCAGATAGGTTCATTTGAAATGGCCTTTAAAAATTGACAAATTTGCTTTCATGTCATCAATAGTCTGAAAATGGTGTCATTTCAGCACTGATTTTAATTTCGGAAATAAGCAAAAATCGCAAGGAGCCAGGTCTGACGAGTAAGGAGGGTGAAGAGGATAGTAATCTGATTTTTGGCACAAAACTGACGAATTGACAAAGCTGAGTGTGCGTGTGTATTGTCATAGTGCCAAGAACCACGAATTGTCTCGCCACAACTCTGGTCTCTTTTGCAGATTTTTTCACTTTACTGTTGTAAAACGCCTTGATGGTACACAGGCTTCACCGTATCACCTTGAGGCAAGAATTCAAAATGCACAATTCCATTGTCCATGTGACAGTTAATAATAGAATATAGAAATATACTTATATTAGTCTACAGAAAATATTTAAATATACTTTTCTTTGGTTAACTTAAAAAGGTCTCTTCATATGATCAAGTGATCAAGTTAAAAGTAAAATTTAAGTTTGCTTCTACCTTCAATATTTTAATTCTGTATAACTGGTTGCATAAACAAAAAACCTACTGTAAACATAAGGAGAAATGTTATCTACAAAATTGAGTTGTAAATATGTATATTACATAATAATAAATAAATAAAACTTTTTCGAGTAAAATATGTGACTGGATGTTTATTTTATTGACCTGATTAAGTAGTGAAAATCACTTATAACCTCATTTTTAGCGGTTCCTATGTCATTTTCTAATTCCTTGTTAAATTATGTTAACTGAAATGGTGCGGAACGAATTGATTGGCTACCAGATCAGTTTGAGTTGCCGCTGAACTTTCGGAGTGGGTTTCTTAGAAAGATGGGGTCCTAGCTCTATTTGATCCAGAGATAATGGAATGCACTTCACTTGCTTGTAAGAGTTCCAGTTAGGGTTTCAACTGACCCTGCCTTTTGCAATAAATTTACGATCTTAGGGTCTTTAAGCACGGCGAGTCTGCGACTCTGGTGTCTTTATCAGTGTCTTTTGTTTGGACTAGACACTAAAAGTGTGATTTGAGGTCTCCGTGGAGTACCTGCAAGTTCGGAGAGCTTTAGCATTGCGCCTCGTAGGAGGGCTAGTGTATGACAGCTTTAAGAAGGTCTTCGCCGTAGGTAGGACAGACCTACGCGGATAGATAGATAGATAATTCGAAAAATTTTAAAGAACATTTTTGGATTTGATTGGTTATTTCGGGCAAAAGTAACAATAATGTCTATGTATAATATAAGAGTCGAGCAATTTTGATCGAGTCCACATTCTGGCCAGCATTCCATCCCTGGTTACAGAACTGCCGATATTCAGAGATGACGTTCAGTCACAAAATGGCTTATTCTGCTGGTGTTCACTATTCCATTATCTTGTTCATTTCCACACCTCTGGACTATGACCCCTTCTGGCTGGCTTCTATTTCGTTATGATTGTTGGGTTTTCCAAATTTGGGACCAGCTTTCATTTCGCACTGTTGGAGATATGGGCTGCTGAATCGGAGTGGTTTTGGCTGCATAGAGCGGTTTTTTGGCGCGACTGCGGGAACTCTGGAAAGTGAGGTAAAAATTTTCCGTGTCGTTCTCAATATCGCGCAATGTATACAGCGTCGATCTGTGCAGAGTCAGCCGCTATGTATGGAGGGGTCCGGGGCTGTTTGAAGAATGTTGCAAAGTCAGGTGAAAAGTGTCTTCGAAGATAGATTTTGCATATGGCGGTTTTTTTTCGGTTTTCTTGTCCCGAACTGAAAGTGTGGTAAATTTTGAAGTGACTGGAAACACGAGAGAAACTCTAAAACTAAAAATAATTTTACCCAACATTTTCAATTTAATTTGGGCTTCTTTTACAAATAAAAATTTTAAAGAAAATGTTTTTTTTTTAATTCCTACTCATTCTAAAGGTTACTATCAACTTAAAAGAAAACAATTACTGTTATACTTAATTTTGATAATGTTATCAGTTCAGAAAAATATTAAAAAATAAAACACTTCGTAAGTTGTTTATCTTTGTTATTTGCTATTCAAAATATTTTATATAAATATAAAAATGACTGTCATGTACAAAATATTCTATAATATTCATAAACACATTATCCAGTTAATTGAGCATAGATAAAATATAAATCTATTTGACATCTACAACTACAGGAAATACAATCTTAAATATAAAGCTTCATTACATTTTTCTTTTTAATCCTTTGCTTGTTTCTGAGTGATATTAACTTTTATGACTTTGCATTTGCCGTCTTATAGGTAGGTAACTAATGTTAAATAGATATCCTTAGACTAGTTTGATGAGAAACTGATTGTGGTGGGAAAACTGAGTATTACATTATCTGACCAAATGTAGGCACTTGCAATGAAAATCTAAATCTGTATAAGTCTGAAATTGTTAGTACTATACTCTTACTAATATTATTATACCAGGAAAAAGCCTAAGGAAAGTTCCCTCCTACCGGAAATGGATAACTGGCCTAAATACTATTCTTGTTAGGTATCTTAAGAACAAAAATTTTCAAGTTATCAACTAATCTAAGTTAAGTGTATCATAGCTTACTTCAGGTATCAGTTACAGTCAGACTTTCTTTTTCTACACTTCAGTTGCAGATAATCATTTTCCAATAAAAAATATAAAAATTATTATAATTCCTAATAACAATCCTCTTCGCTTTCATATTCAATATAAGTGTCATAAGTGCTCACATTAGGATCACAAATTGTACCTCTGATAGCTTCATCTGTGTACGCCGACATTATTCTAAAATTAATGTGATCGTCCTTTAATCCTTCGTATAAATAATATGGTAATAGATTGGATAGAACCCATACGCTTTGCCTTGGTTCTTGGTCTATTTTTATGTCATTTGGGAAAACTAAAGTTTCACGGCTCTTCGCTACGACTCCCAGGTTTGACCTTTTGTATGGTTTTCTCGAGTCCCAGCATCCTACTGAGTCCCTTGTGACCAAGTTGTAAAACATTATACCTAATGAAAAGAAAAATGAAATTAAGTTCAAGTAGTCTACTTATTTCAATCACAAATTACAATGTTTGTGCTATCTTTACCATTTCTGTCCATCCAAGACGATGAAACATGACCAGAGCTTCCTCGACTTTGTCCCATGACTTTGAAAGCGTCTTTCACATCAGCCCATCCAGTTTCGTTACAGATGACTGAAGTTTTTACGTAAAACTCCCTAAATCCTGACATTGAGTGGAAGTATAGGGTTCTGTCCGGATAATATTTGTTGTATGGGCTCAGAGATAGGCCAAATAGTCCGTCTGTCCAGTCGAATTCTAAGTGATGTAACTGTAATGACAAACAAAATCATTCTAATGCGCCCTATTTAATAGGAACATAGGTCGTGTTTATGCAAATTGTAAGAAATCGACGGGAGTGTTCAATATTTTCAATATGTTCTAGACATCAGATGGAATCTACAGATATTTGGAAATAATCTAGAGTATGTCCTGCTTTCAAGAAACTTCTTACATTACAATTATATGTAATTTTTCTAATGTAGATTACAAGCAGAAATACATTTTAATATACGCGGAATTATAAATTAATATTGGTATGGTTGAACTACCAATCAATCGATCAATCAATCAACCAACCAACCAACCAACCAACCAACCAACCAACCAACCAACCAACCAACCAACCAACCAACCAACCAACCAACCAACCAACCAACCTTATCTGAATAACCCAAAATATAACAGGACATCTTAATGATGAAGAACAAGCAGATGTTACCTTATCGACTTTAAACATATTTTGATAAACTCGTTTTCTTGTTGTCCAAACTTTAGTAAACAGATTTTTCAAACAATCATATTATTTTTATTTACATTTCAGGAGTCAGTATGTTGAATTGACATTTCAGATATATGATGTATTAGATTGTTTTAGTTGAGCCACGTTGTAACTCCGAATTATTAATTTTATTAGATAAGATAATATTAAGAAAATAACAAACATATTACATAAAATTAAATATTTATTACAAATAATTAGATATCGAAATGATTTGAGCAAATTAATTTTTTCGCATTAAAGTGAGTGAATAAAAGTAGAAAAATTAACTTGTGAAGGTATAAAAATTCCTTGTATCTTCATATTGTTCGGTAGTAGTGTCTAATGGTTGCGAAAATTTTATTAAAAATTGTCTAAATAGTGAATACTATAGTATTTATAATAATTAAAAACATCTTTATAGAGTGGGAAATATAGAGCACATTTATTTGAAAGTCAAGATATTTAGAAAAAAAAAAAATAAACAGGCTGTATACATTCTAGGTGAGATTTTATTATATAATTTTTAATATTTTAATGGTCGAATACATATATTTTACACGCTTTTTCATCAAAGACTTGTCCAAATAATGATGTTCTAAATTCAAATAATTATATTCGTAGCATACCTTGTGAATTCAATAAAGCTATAAATATTACAACAAACGAACCCAAAAATTACATTAAAAACGAGAATTTGAGAGATAAAAAATTTGTAATTACTCTTGAGAAATCAGTCATTTATCATTGGGATTCAGTTAAAACTTTTAATGGTATATCTAGTTATGGAAGCACATAAATAAATTTAAATTGTCATAATTGAAAACAAAACGAAATTCTCAGTTCTGACCACGAAAACAAATTTATTTTCGAAACATCAGAAACTTATTGAAGTGCGTGATATAGTGTTGTACGCCTATATTTTGTGTGAGATTCTTCGTTAGGCAGAACTAATTAATTTTATTTAATTTATAAATATTTCCACTGGTAGCAAACACATTGCATATGTATAATCTTTCCGTCAGTTGAACACGTATAAAAAAACAGAGCAATCAAATTTAATGAGATTCATAGGCGTTCCTAAAAAAGTTTTTTGCTAAAGGTAAAAAATTATAATAATTTGTATATAATGTGTAGAAAATTTATTTTGCCAACAACATATTTTAATTATTTATGTCCTCAAACAATCTTATTATATTGATGGTAAATTTCGTTTTGTTCCGGTTCAAAAGGTCTCCAAAATGCCATGTTGTAATAATATTAGTAAACAAAATATCCCTCTTATTTCTCCCGTTTGCAATTGTAATATTAATGATTAATAGAATGATGCCTATAATAAATTAAAATTATCTGAATCACATCAAATTCCGAATTGCTGCAGTGCACTGCCAGGCGACTTGTTGATAACTGAAATTTATGACGCAGCCGACCAGAGCAACTGTGGGTGAACGCTGTTTGCCAGCACGTGCATTCCTCAACTGGGTGTATACATTTGTACCACCTGAACGTTTAGTTCGACCAGATCGGTATATGGGTATGGCTAAATAAATATGGGAACAAGTTTTTCAAATATTTCAATGCCGAGTTGCTGCGTAGCGACCGAGCCTGGTATATACTATCAAGTTGTTGGCTCTTCAACTGAAATCGGAAAAACTATATTGCATATTTGTACATATACGGAGTGATTCACTTTTTATGATTAGGACTTTAACCATCGATAGATCTCGTCAAAATAATGTCATTTTGAAGTATACACTTTTTCCAAAGGCTTCCTTTTAGAGATAAAAGCTCTTGAAAAAACATTTTTTTTTTGGTTTTTATTTATTTTTTCTTAAACTATGAACGCCATTTATTTTATATTTAGTATGAAATGTGAGAATAAAAAGCTCTATCGATTTTACAAATTATTGTGAAAATAAATCAATCACATACGTCCGTAAGGGGCTTCGCTAACTCCTATTTTTAATATAATTTCTACACCATGCACCACTGGAAATTTATCAAAATGAATATATGTTTTTACATTGCGGTTTATTATACAGCAAAAAGGTCTGTTACTATTTTTAAATGCAATGGTTGGTTTTTGAGAAAAATGGTTTCTTATGGATTCATTATATATGAAAAGATTTCGAGAATACCAGGCGATTGGATTAGAGGCATGAAAACACACAAAACCGCTTACACTTTTGTCGATCACCTCCCCAGTCTGCGTCACATATACCTTCTAAAACATTTGCTTCTTTTGTGTATATCAGTCCAAAATCTTTTGATGAACTCAGATAACGAGGTATTCTTTCACCAGCGTTCCAGGTTTGTTTGGTCGGTTTTTCCAAATATCGGCTTAAGTAGGAGACACTAAAAGCGATATCTGGTCTAGTAATAATTGACAGATATATTAAACTTCATATCAATCTTCTATATGGAATATTCTGCTCTATTGACTCATCTTCATTTATTTGAATTAGAGGCATGAAAACACACAAAACCGCTTACACTTTTTCAGCTTTGTCGATCACCTCCCCAGTCTGCGTCACACATGCCTTCTAAAACACTTGCTCATTTTGTGCATATCAGTCCAAAATCTTTTGATGAACTCAAATAACGAAGTATTCTTTCACCAGCGCCCCAGGTTTGTTTGGTCGTTTTTTCCAAATATCGGGTTAAGTTAGGTTTATCGCCACGGTAGCGCAGTCGGTCGAGAGTGCGGTGGCAAGCATTTCTCGGCTAGGCTTCCTACTCTGGTCCGGGTTCGATCCCCGGTGTCGGCACTGGCAATGTCGATGGATAATGGGTGTTTGTCCGCGTTTTTTCAAGTGTAGCCCCCTTCCGCACAAGCCTTTGGCTTTTGGATTTGGGGGTTGTCTCATTTNCAATGCCAGCAGAAGTTAGAGTTTGTAGTACCCAACGGCTTAGCGTTTGCTTGGAAGCTACTCTGTACGGTTTTTTAAACGTTAGGAATAAGAAACTATTCTCGCTTCGGCCAGGTCTCGTTAGGTCCAAGTACGTTTTTAGAGTCGACGCTACACATAACTGTGGATTGTCCTTATAAAAGGGAATTTGTAGGCAGGGCTGGGTACGGCCAACTCCCGACGTTTTTATCCTATCCGGTATGAAAATTTGAAATCCACTTGAACAAGAGATTATGTTTTCTACTCTGATGAGTGCGAGGGTTTGTAATCTCTGACCGGTGATAAGAGCGAGAAGAGTAATTAGCTTCAAGGACACTTCTTTCAAGGTACAGTTTCCAGGTAAAGCAACATTCTCCAAATATTTTAGGACAATTGATGGATCCCATGTGAAGTCATACTTTGGTGTGGAAGGATGAAGACGTGCAACACCCTTCATAAACCTCTTCATTCTAGGATCTTCCCCAATATTATCCGATACAATTAAAGAAAGCGCTGAACGATGAGAATTCAATGTTGAATATTTATAACTGCCCTTATCGAGAATGTGTTGGAAAAATGCCATGCAGTCTGCAATTTTGCCCTGAAAAGGGGATATGTTCCTTAAATTGCAAAATTTCCACCACAGTTTGAAGGTCACATCGTACTGTCTTAATGTTGATTCAGCCAATGATTGGACAGATGTCTCTATGGCGCATTCAGGATAACCTTTCAAGCTAAAAGCCTTCCTGATACTTTGTATGCCGCCAGGGTAAGTTCCGGCGCCAATGGATGGGACTTGCTGAAAATGGAAGACAATAAGTTGTAACTTGGTTCTAAGATAACTGGGTCACATAGTGACAGTTTTAACAAAAGAGGATACCATGGTTGAGATGGCCATTTTGGAACAACTAAAATTCCTTCTGCTCTGTCCTCAACCACTTTCTGTAATGTCCTAAGAATTACAGAGAAGGGCGGAAAGGCATAAAAAAATATATCGCCCCAATGTATTGTAAAAGCGTCTACCGCTATCGATCCCGGGTCCCTCAACCATGATACATACTTCGTACATTTAAAATTGTCCTTGGAGGCAAATAGATCAAGCACTGGCTTTCCTAAAATTCTCACAATCTTTTCAAATGCGTAAGGGGCTAGAGACCACTCGGTTTCAGGTGGAAGTATCCGTGATTCTTCGTCTGCTTGCCAGTTATCTTTCGAACTTATGTAGCTAGCGTGAAGCCAGAGATTTCTTTTTTCACACCATTGCCAAATATCTCTGGCAAGTTGGTTTAATGAAGGAAAACGGACGCTACCCATCCTGTTAATATAAGCTATGGCCGTTGTATTATCCGTCCTTACTAAAATGTTGCAGTGTTTGTGATCACGTGCAAAGCATTTTAAACCATAGAAAACGGCTTGAAGTTCTAAAAAATTTATGTGGTACCGTTTCTCTCTATGAGACCACCAGCCGTGTGTTCTCTCGCCCCCTGAGCATGCTCCCCAGCCCGATAAGGAGGCATCAGTGAAAATTACTAATTCAAAGGAGCCTTTCTTTATGTTATTGAATGCCGTTTCAATGTTACTCGACCACCACCTTAAGTCGAAAGAGACTGTTGGAGGTATAGCCATTTTTGCTGAATAATTCATATTGTCCTTTAACAGAGCTAGGTATTTTGCTCTTTCGAGAACTTTGGTGTAAAGCCAGCCATATCTGACGGCCGGACATGAGGATACTAAAATGCCAATAAACTGAGCAAATGTTTGGATTTTGATATGTTGTTTTGACTGAATATATTTTATCCAGTTCTGAATTTTGAGTATTTTTGACTGAGGAAGTTTTAGTACCATATTTTTACTGTCAAATATAAATCCAAGGAATTTGCAAGTTTGAGTTGGTTTGAGCATACTTTTTTCTTTATTTATGACAAAGCCTAGTGAAGTTAACAAGGCAACAATTTTGTTAACATTTCTGAGACAATCAGCATCGCTATCTCCTAAAATTAAAAAATCATCCAAATAGTTTATACAAGAAATACCCTTACAACGGAGGTACTGGATGACAGGCTTTAATAATTTAGTAAAAGTGTAGGGGGCCGACGATAAGCCGAAAGGAAGGCAAGTAAATTCATATAAACTCTGATCAAAATAAAACCTTAAATATTTTCGGTCTGTTTTATCTACCGACACCAGGAAATAGGCGTCCTTTAGGTCGATAGTTGACATGTAACAGTCTTTGGTTAATAGGCCACAGACTGTTCGAATATCCTCCATTTTAAAGTGAGGAGACAGGACATATTTATTTAGTGGTTTTAAGTTTAATATAAATCGCTTGCCTCCATTTGATTTATCAGCTAAAAATATTCTTGATATGAACTGATGTTCTACTGCATGGGCACATTTAACAACGGCACCCTGTAGAAGCAATTCGTTGATAGCTGTTTTTAAGTTTTTAGCCTCTTTTGCAGGATGATGTGAGATAAGGGGAATTTTCTGACAGGGTACTACCCTAAGAGGTAACCTGTATCCATTTATCCACCCTAATATTACTGGATTCGAGGTTATTTCACTCCATGCAGTGTGAAAGTGCTTAAGTCGCCCCGCAAAAGGTTTATTACTTAC